CCCGGAGCACCCCCCCCCCCCCCCCTCCCGCTGCTCCTGCCCTCCCAGAGTATCAGGGAGGAGTGTGTGCTGCCTGCCTGCTTCTGCCTCCTCCCCGCCCCCCCGAGCACCAGGAAGGGTGAGGCTGCATGACTCCTGCCCCCATGAGCACAGCGGAGGGGGCTGAAGGTGGAGAGACTGCGGGACACAGAGTGATGTGATGATATCACTCTCATCCTCCAGGAGCATTTTTTTATATAAAGAGAGAGTGATTAGAACTGAAGTGTAGGGTAACGGTTACAAGTTTTCTTGATTTACTTTCCTTGTGTGTAGCTTTCTCTGATATTTACATTCTTCAGTTAGGATATGTCTAGACTGCAGGCTTCTTTCGCAAGAAGCTTTTTTTCGGAAGAGATCTTCCGAAAAAACTTCTTGTGAAAGAGAGCATCCATGCACACAAGTGCATTGAAAAAGTGATCTGCTTTTTCGAAAGAGTGCGTCCAGGCTCAGTGGACGCTCTCTCACATATAAGCAGTGATTGCAATGGATGGAATGGCCACCAGGGCACCTGTGCTTTTTCCTCTTTTCTTTTCTTCCGAAAACTCCCTCCCTCTCCAGCCACACACGCCTGTTTGCAAAAGAGCTCTTTCACAAAAAGGCTTCTTCCTTGTAGAATGAGGATTGCCAATGCTGGAAAAACCCCTCTGTTCTTTCAGTTTTTCTTGTAGAAGAACACAATTGTAGTGTGGATGTTCTTCAAGTTTTGTCGGAAAAACAGCTGTTACCCTGAGAAACATAGAGTGATAGCCTGCTTCAGAGGAAGGACCCGTCCCCATAATTCATAGCCAATGATATACACAGTGTGTGGAATTGTTGCCTGATTTCTCTGCATATTTAGATGGTGCTCTGAAGCATGATTTGATTTTCCCTTTTTTTTTGTTGGCATAGCTACAGATGATGATGGTCGTAAAATTATTAATGCTTGGAATGTGGGAGTAATTTTATTTGTACAGTAGAAGCATTCTTTTGTCTTTGTTTCTCCAAGTGCAGGTCATCTAGAGAGGAAATTTGCTTTCCTTTGGTGATCTCTACATTTGCTGTATTTTTAGATTTCTAGTCATGTATCAGTTTCTTCCCTGTTAGAAAAAAAAAATCTAACTATATGGTGCTTTAATTCCTTTTTTTTAATGATGGAAATGGAGCTAGCTTTTACTAGTCAGTATCCTTCCAGATATGTGCAGTATACTGTACCTAATTTTAACTAACTCTGAATGTGTGTATTGGGAGGAGAATATTGCCATCCCCCATTTTTTCCTTTCCTCCCTAGACCGGTCCTGTTAACCTTCTTGAAAGAGGAAAGATGGTTTGAAAGTGGCATCCTCTGGAGTACAGTGGAGCATTAATCAAAGGTGTTTTTTTGAAAATAACACAAAGTACTTCTTTTGGGGACTAAATGTGCCACCTGCACATTTCTCCCAGCCCCTCAGGATCTAGGGAGCTGCATATTTGAATTCACACTGAGTCTCAGAATTATTTTTGCTAGCTAAGTTGCAAGTCTCACACCTGAAACTCTTAACTTAGAATTAAAATATATTCATGCTAATACTAGGGATGTGAACGAGTAGCTTTAGTGGGTAATGCTTACTGGTAATCGGTTAACCAGTGTCCCCAGGCAGCCTCCCCCAGTGCCCACCAAGCTGACAGGTAGGGATGTTAAAGATTAACCAGTAAACATATGTCTTAACATACAACTAGTTATCGGAGGGCTCTCCTCTCCCCCCGGCCCGGCCACCACGAACCTGACCACGATAGACTGCCCGGCAGGACTAGTGGCTGGAGAGAAAACGCTGCTTCTCTCTTCACATACATGCTGGGTCCTGAGTTCATGATTCTGTGCAATTGCTGATGAAATTAAAAAGGCACAATAAAGGAACTGTTGGGTTAGGGAGCATTTATTGCATTAGTGGTTTCAGGTCAAATGGCTAAACAGTGGGCTTGCCAGGTGGGTAAAGAAAAATTGTTTTTGGCTACTTTTCATATAGTTAAAAAACAATCTACATATTCTGTTAGTCTCTAAGGTGCTGCTAGACTATTCTTTAAGTTTTTCCAGTTAGACTAACTCGGCTACCCCTCTACAACTTTTTTTCATATAATTGTCCGTCTGTACAGATGTTCCACTAATGATGGTGGCATGTCAGAAATTTTCAAGTCCAAATTTTGCAGTTCTTTTCAAATAAGGAAAGGGGGAAAGCCCTTAAAATTGGGTTAATCATTTTGGCTTTTCCTGAAATGGCATGCCCTCTCTTGCTGGGGTAAGACTGGAGGAGTTGCCTGAGATGAACAGCAGATGGCACCACTTCACTGCTTGTGAGACCTGTTAGTGGAAAACTATTTACTGTGTTTGTGCAACTAAGCCAAAAGAATTCTCTGTAAATGTAATTGGATTTAGTCTAATTTCTTATGTCTTTTCAGTGTTCTAATTGAGGTTTCATAAGGGATTTAAACCTTGATAGTATGTTGATCGTTGACGTGTTCATATACAAACTAAGATGGCTTTGAAAAAGCAATATTGGGAGGAGAAAAGGTGCTAGTGAATTCCCCGAGGCTGGCTTGGTAAAGTAAAGGCAGCTAAACCCCGTCAAACTAAGCATTGTGGCCAAATGAGAAGAGACACGCTGTGAGTTCAGCTGTTTGAGAAGCACTGGTAGTCAAACTAAACTGCAAAGGACCCTGCTGCCCTCTTTTCCCCAGCCTGCCTGCCACTGGCAACATGTTGCAAGCAGTTGGGCTGCTTGCAGATTTACTTAATCTGGCAGACAACCAGCAGCTGATTAGAGACAAGGTGGGTAAGGTAATATCTTTTATTGGACCTGAGAGAGCAAAGCTTTCAAGCCACACAGAGCTCTTCTGCAGGTCTGGGAAAGGTCCTCTAAGTGTCACATTCTAAGGCAGGGTTGCCCAACAGACAGCTCACAGACCCACCAAAGCATTTTGTAAGGCCCATAGCCTGCTTCAATGCAATATATAGACCAGTGGACTGCCAAGCTGCCGGATCTGGGTACAGAAGAGCCAGCTGCTTCAGAGCAGTCCCACGTCTGCTCCCTGTAGCTCTCTGCTCAGAGTGCTGGGTGTGGGGAGAGGTGAAGGGGAAGGCCTTACGCGCTGCCACCACCTCCCAGCAAAATCTCTCAGCTCCCATTGGCCAGAATGATGCTGCTAGGCTTATGTGGTGCTTGTAAAACACTGTAAAATGTATTGTTAAAAATTCTGTCAGGTAAAAATACTATTCTGGTATTATAGGGGCAGGAGTGATCGCCTTGTTGTTCTGTGAATACATCTAACCCAAACCTAAGTGACCTTCCCTTTTCACAGATGTCATCTGGGTTATCCTCAGCGTGGAGGTTGGAGGACTATTAGGAGTAACGCAGCAGCTGTCGTCCTTTGAAACGGAATTCAACACACAACCACATCGCAAGGTAGAAGGAAACTTTAACCCCTTCGCCTCTCCGCAGAAGAACAGGCAACCAGATGAAAACAACCTAAAAGACCCTGGGGGTTCTGAGCTAGGCACAATCAGCAAAAACACGTGGGGGCCTGCTCCTGACCAAATTGAACAAGATCAGACTGGACTGTCACAAAACTCTGTAAATCTCTCCCCCAGCAGTCACTCAAACAACTTGTCGGTAGTGACGTACAGTAAGGTAGGTGCCCTGGGAGATCAGGAGAATGGGTAGGTGACGAGACCATGATGTGTATTGTGATAGTCCTGCTTCATTACAAACTGTGAAGCCCTGCCTTCCACCTCCGTCTGACCTGCTAAGGAAGGGTTTGACTATAAGACCGTCTAACTCTGCCAGCTCCTCACCTTATATTAAACACGAAATAAAACACCCTTTTCATCCAATAGATTCTACTAGGTCCACATTTTAAAAATCCTTCTTGATGTCCTCATCTTGCCTGGGTGCTGTGTAACTGATAGTTGTTGAAGTCCTCTCCAACTTCCAATATGTTTTGAAGAAAAAAGTCACAATATCTCCAAACTCAAATCTAGGTGATTTCAACATCCCTCCTCCCCTGGCACATCTTGGGATTCAACCAAAGAAAATAAATGTATATATTTTTTTCCTGCACCAAGGAGCAGATAGGGGGTACCCTGCTCAACAGCTTGTTTTCAGGAGCCACAGTTGAGGAATAGTCAGTCCTAGGACCATTCTTGTTTCTGTGATTTTTTTTTTTCTTGTCTCTATAATCATGTTTTAAAATTTCCCTCAGAAGCTTGCTTGATGGATGTTATACAAATAAGCTTGCGTGATATTTTAACTTTTTTAAGATGTGTGCGTGTACAAATTTATGAAAATGAATTTCAGGGTTTATTTACACTTCAGAATCCTATTGTTGAAAGAAGCATGTCTAGGTGTGTATGTCCAAAATAGTTGATTTAAAAGCCTTTAAATATGCTTTACTGTAATTTGAACAGTCTATATAGGAAAAGAACACTCAGTTGCTATTTACATTAATAAAGTCCTAATGTTAGGAACTACTGTGCTGTAGATGAACTTGTTAAACTGCTTGCAGTGTACAAATGAATCCATTCCAAAGTACCACACATTGTACTGAGGTTACATCATTTTGTCCTAACTTTTAGAGCAGATAACAAAATAGGAACTGCAACTGTACAGCAAACTATCAATTGCCTTCTTCATATTAGACACCTCAGACTGTCAGCTGTGTGAGACTTACTGGGTCATGCTTCAAGAGGGGACTCTCAACAACCCTTTAAGGCTAGCGCTTCACTGTTCAGTGAATTGAAAATTACAGCCTTGTACCTTTAGATTGCCAGCCTCAATCATTAGTGATCTGAAGCTCTTACCATATGGTGATTGCTTTCTGTGTTCTGGATCAGGCCATGGTGGATAGTGGCCTAACCATAATCACTGCTCAATCCCTATGGAGGGGCCAAGAGCTAATGTACCTGTTGGCTGACGTCTGGTTCTCCCCGAAAGTGATCCCTCTGTAACAAGGTTGAGGCACATTGGTGGGATAATGTGCAGGAAGTTATCCTATTGTCTGTGAGATGTGTATATTCTGTACCTAAAGGGCTACTACGATTCCAGGACTGGTAGAGGGTACCTTGCAAGAATGTTTAATACATGAAAAGAACTGAAATAAAAACTTAATTTAGCTGAGATACTGGACTAATCTACTAGTTTTTTACAGCTACAGATGGAATCAAATCTGTCTTATGTCACCCATGAAAACTTGGTTGTCCCAGTCTTAGCATATGTCAACACTTGCTGGTGAAGGCGGGCATAGCAATGCTCATTTTAATCTAACTACCATGAGTAACAGCTGAGTACATGTGGTGTCATGGACTTAGTCGTGGATTAGCAACCAGAGTACAAGTCCTGCAGAGTCCCTGGCTTGTCCTTGTCATGACAGGTATGTTGTTGTTGTTACCCATGCTAATTAGATTAAAGCTAGGTAGACATACTTGTCCAGCTACATTATGTCTTCACTTTCAATGTAGACAGACCCTTAGGAGTACATTTTCAGCTAATCTTGGGGATTTGGGGCTTGCCCATTTTGATTGAAGAATTTGGTTGTTACTTATGTCTACTTCATTGGTACCTGCAGTTGGGTAGGCACGTAACTACTAAGATTTGCACCTAAGTATAGCACTACTGCATCATTAAGAGTAGCCAAGACTAGAAAAATGTCAAATTTTAAGATTTAAATTACTGTGGTGGTGTCTTTGTTAGATACCCAGGACTGAAATACTTGTTATGTTGGGATAAATGTGGTATGGCCATTTATGGATAATTTCTTTCGTATATTGCCTGACTGTCTGGAACGCAATACAAAGGCTAATGACAGCTACCATGATACAGAGATAGAAACAGACAGGAGTACACCTTGACTACGCAGAGCTAAAGGAAGAAGTGGCTAATTCCATGGGCAAGGATTATATCCTTCTCAACAATCTGGACAGTATGTGATTTGGAACATGATCTATTTTGATATGGGACAGCCCAGTTTAGTTCCATGATGCAGATGTAGGGTGGTAACTTGTGTTCTAGTGATTCTTTATTCTGACTGATGAGTTTAGCTTATCCATTGCTTCTAACTAGTTGTCATGCCAGCACAAAAGATCCCTTCATCTGCTTTGAACTGAAAGATAACTTTAATAATAGTTCAGTGGGCTAGTCTACAACTTCTTTTCCCAACACAAAAGAAGACCACAGCCCTACTAATTTGGACTTTTTTGCAGTGCTTGTGCACAAAGCTTGCAGTTCTGTTTCAGGCTGCTAAGAGACTCCCACTGTCTTTTTGACAGAAGCTGATGTGGCCTGGGCCTCTGTTACAGGTTGAACCTCTCTAGTCCAACACACTTCGGTCTGGCAACATCCAATGGTCCGGGGGCATGGATATCCACTTATCATGGGTGTGGCTAAGTTTCCCATGGCCCCAGAAAGTATCACAGCCACCAGTCCGGTCTCTGTGTTCTGTGCTGTTATTTGCCCATACTGGGCTCTTTGAAGACATTTAAGCAGTGGAAGTGTTGGTAATGCTGCTAGACAATATTGACCTCCCATAGTTTGGCAAATTCTCTGGTTCAGCACTGGTTGAGTCCCGAGGGTGCTGAACTAGAGAGTTTCTACTGTACTTTGATTACCTCCTGCTTAGAATACAGGCCCTGGAAGAGTTTCTCTATTATTGATCACACGCTCTTCTGTCCATGGTAACTTAGTAGCTAAACACTGTCTCAGCACTTTACAAAGTGATTTTCCAGTAGGCAGCTTTGTCAATTGCATGAATCTCTTGGGCATACAAGCATATATTGGCAAAGTATTTTGAGAAGGAAGCAACAGTGACAGTCCGTTGCGCATTGAAAGGGCTCACAAAGCTGGTAGGAAGCTCCTGGCAGAATCGGTTGCCCATTGACAGCATTTTGGAAATGCAGGGAGAGTATTTGTCACATCCAGAAAGTATTATTGGGTAGGCAGAACAAAATAAGACAGCTTCTCACACGTTACCTTGTGAAAGCTGGATGGATATGTGGTTTGTCACCATGAGAAATTGAACACCTAAATTGCATGGCAGTTTTTTCTAGGAAGGGACACTACATTGACAATCAAAAGCTCTGAGACTCTGGGATGTGCCAAGTGAGAAGCAGTAAGAGAGAATGACCAGTCCTTTTCATCTCATATCCTTGAAGTTCCTACCTCTGTTTGAGAACTTCCCATGGTGGCCAAGATGGTATATGCTGACCTGCTTTGCTAGAAGTCATAAATCTGGCATGTTACTTTTGTTTGAAATACACTGAGCTGACTGTCAGCTTAACAGTAACTTGCTTATCCTAAGTGAATGGTCTGATCAAATATTAGTGAAAAGTACAAACTAGTTTTAACCTTTCGGTTTCAGAATTCCTGCAAATAAGGTGGTGCCAGATACTGACTCCTGTTGTTGCAAGGCTGATGTTTCTCTTCCCAGACCAATATCTCACTGCCAGAAGGATTCCAGTTTTCAAAAAATCATCTTCAAAAATCAGACCTATCAAACATAAGCTAAACTCTTCCTCTGTTTCCTTTTCCATTCCACTGTTCAGGTTGGGACTAATCTGGTGTAAGATCCGGTTGAAGATCTAAAAGCCCTGACTGGGGAGTAGCTGCTATACCATGTTGTGGTCCTAAATAGGGTAATTGTGGAAATAAAAAACAAAACACAAAAACTGTAGCAGTTTTGTTATCACTGCCATACTGTCAATCGATTTAAGAGATCTCATCGGTGCTTTTGGAATGGGTGGAGAATTTGGTGTGTAGGGATTCATTCACTTATCTAGGTGTCTTGTGTCCTGCACTGTTATCTATGGCTTAGTAAAATAGGTAACTGGTTTCCTCCAAAGCCAAGGCTATTCTGAAGACCATTGAATGCCCGTGGCTGTTAAGCTAAGCATTTTGCCTTGGGAAGCTGCTTTATCTCTTCTTCCTTAAGGAAAAAGGAGTTCAGAACTGGGTTTCCGTTCCCCAAAATCATCAGAAAGCTTCTCCATGAGGTGTCTCGGGGTTCTCATGAGAACAACTCCTCTCAGGTAACTGGTTTCTGAAGATATGGAGTCAAGGAAAGCAGAAGCTTTGACACCAGAAATTTCTGGACCCACATTTAATTTCGAAAAGCCAGTGACATGCTGTCCTGTTGCTTTGAACCAGTGCTATCACCTTCTTCTTGCAAGCTGGCAATCTTTCTTTAAAAAGAGGGGTTTCTTAGGAACGAATAACAAGTAACATAAATCATGCACTTGGGTGTCTCTGTAAAGGGAAGTTGTAGGGCTCTTCAGGGCAACTCCAGAAGTATTCTGCATTTCTGAGTGGTTTTGGGGAAAGGTGGGGAAATTACATGGATACTTGAAAATTGCTAGATTCTTGTGCGTGCTCATTCTTAACAGAAAAGGCTTCATCCCACATGGTGGTGATTTAACATTATAAAACAAGTTTTAGAGAGCCATATTAATCTGTCATCAAATACAATGAGTCCGGTGGCACCTTAAAGACTAATAATTATTTTATGGAATAAACTTCCATGAATTGCAACTCACAGAATGAGAGAGCGATCTTCAAATGGATTGAGCATGATGTTAAAGGTCCAGAGACTTGGGTTTTATTTCCTGGGTCTGTCACAGACTTGCTGTGTCATCTGCTGAGCT